AGTACCAATGGTATCGAGCAGATTCATGCTTGAATCCCCAAGATCATCACAGCTTGAATCACAGCTACCGTAAGAAGGGTTAAGAATGGAATCCATGAACAGAGCTGCACCTTGGTCCTGAACCATGTTTAAGTGCAGTGGTGCAGCACAGGAATCACTTAAATAGTAGCCCCCATGTTCAGATGGCATAATAAGGCTGAAACTACCAGAACCATTGCTACTCGTGGAGCTATATGTACTTGCACTAGCATTGCAATGGAAATAAAATGAATTGGAAGCTTGAATAGGCCAAGGAAACTCTTGGTGATCTTCCTCACCATTGGAGGGGAAGGTACTAAGCAGCTGTTCCATTATCTCCGACTCCTCGGCCTGCAATGGTACATCAAGCGAACTCCAGCTTGGCTCTGCAATCACTCCTCCAGACTCCATTTTTATCAGTATGGGATGTGAAGGATAGTAGAAGTGATATGAGGCCCTAGGCTGCTTGATGTGGTTGGTGAAGAAAAAATGCGGGGCTGTTGGAGGTGATTTATACTGATGACGAGGTTGAGGAAACCCGAGAGTTGCAGAACTTTCAAATGTAATCATCACTAAAGAATGGATCACCATGGCTGGGGATGATCTGTGGTGACAGCAACCGCTCCAGGTGTTGTCTGCAGATGCACACATTATAAGGTTAGAAAATGTCAACTGCTAGTTGGTAGGCAAGATAGTGACTTATCAAAGATCACGATTTGTATGTCAAGCGAATCAGAGGTTGGAGTGGCCAGTGCCTGAAGGCTGTTTACAATGATTGAAGGGATTTCTCCACCATTCAAGCATTATGGAGACAGAAAAATGAGTCTGATGTTGAAAACCAAGAATAGCATGGGTTTATCCTAACAATAATACAGGATGGGGCATTACGAGATCATTTGGAACATTACTGGAAAGAAAATATGATAAGATAATAAACTGGTACTGAAACAGAGAGGCTTGCACGAACATGGTGGATGGAACTCAAGTCTTAGCGTCCTTTAGGGGGGCTCAAAAAGGACTGCCAGTCCCTCCACAAATCAAGACCTTTTTTTTTGGGGGGGCACACACCAGACTGTTTGTCGTTTTTCATTTTTATAAGCTTCCCACAGTTCCAGCTGTGTTAAAGGGTATTAGAGTCAGTTTACTATGTTCCCAGTTGTAAGTATCTCCTTTACTATGATACTGCCCTTAAGGATTGTGGAATACAACCAACAAGCAATCATCACCACCTCCTCTCACATTAACACCAATACTTTTGCCTGCTGCCCATTGCAGGAATTTCTGTTTGATAGATTCTTAGAACTTCTAAGATATCAAATAGCAACCTTTGGGACATAAAAACTGCACCAAATTGGATCTTTTCCTTGGGTGCTAAAAACAATGCAATAAAGATCTAGACACTATGCAAAAAAAAACAAATCTATTCCAAGATGCCATAGTTATGATTCAATAACACAGCAGTTTCAAAAGATCTTTCCCTTTTCTTATTGGATCTTTTCCTTGGGTGCTAAAAACAATGCAATAAAGATCTAGACACTATGCAAAATAAGGAAATCTATTCCAAGATGCCATAGTTATGATTCACTAATACAGCAGTTTCAAAAGATCTTTCCCTTTTCTTTTCAGATTATGACACATCTAAAAATTCACGGAGCATGTGAACTTCTAGTAACCCTGCACAATGATGTATTGCAATGCCTGAAAAACCAAAGTCATTGGGTGATCTGATTCTGAACTTCCCATCAATAGTAAAATAAGGGCTGCACATGACTCAGATCTAGCAGCAGTTTAAAAAATGATTGTAGTTCTGGAGTGTCCTTTCGTGACCCGAAAATGACTCATTCTTCCTGCCTCTTTGTTCCAAGCAGAGGATCAAGAGGCAAAATAAACAATATAGCTAAATGCTGGCAAGGAAAAAATAAATAAAACAAGAACATACGGTTTGTTTAAAGCCCTGTTCTTATAGCTCCAGTTGCACGAATGATTATGGCACCTTCAAATGTTACAATATAGAAATCTTGATACATTGAAACGAAAGAAATGAAGAACAAATAATAGCCAAAAAGTAAGATAAACAACTCATCTATGGAGAAGCCAAATTGCATCAAGAATTCAAGATTAATCTATGAAGCCCTTAAAATATACATGAAAGGACAAAATCTCAGCTAATTATGCATGGACTTTGGAGAAATGGTTTCGCTGTTGCATTCTTAAGAAAATTGGTAGTAGGATTACTTATCCATGTAGATGACTATGGCAGATCTAAAGCTACTCCGTCTGTTCCAAATTATACTTCACTTTGGTTTTGTCCTAAGTAAAACTTCTCTAGCTTTGACCAAGTTTATAGGAAAATGCACCAACAACCATAACATCAAATTACTTTCATTAAATTCTCAATTAAATATATTTTGATAGTGCATTTCTTTGAACATGTAGATGTTAATGTATTTTTTCTAAAAAATTGGTCAAAAGTTAGAGATGTCTGACTTAGAAGTTAGGACAAAGCCAAAGTGAACTTAGGAGTACTTAAGTTTGCCGGTGGAGTTCAATAACTGTCTTCTGGAAACAATTTTTTTTTTCAAAATACATTGTTACATATTCCTAAGTTGTTACCTACCTTATTAGGTGTATGCTACATGGTACAAGAAACAGTCTTTTTGCCCATCCATCAACAGTATTAAAAGTGGGTCCTTTAGGAGAAAACCGAATTCACTGTGATTGCAATAGAAACAAATTTAATAGCCGCATGTGTCCATCTTCTGCTCTTTTATATGAACGTGACAGCCATGTACAAAACAATGTTGTTCTTTTGTTTTCCATCTTACCCTTTCAGTGAAAAAGGGATGTTGAAGTCTAAAACATCAAACAGAAATAAAGGAGGGAGTCCCTTGCTCTCTATCGTGATCCCTTTATACTAGCACCGTTTTTTTTCAAAATAATGTCACTTTCAATGAAAAGAAAAGAAAAGGTAATGACATGTCTGGTTTTGTGTACTGTTCCTTGATTTGATTCTCCACAAATTTTGAAATAATGGCATACTCAAATATCAACTATTTAATGATATGTCTAAATGTAAATTAAAAAAATTAACTGTTGCATTACCAGTTTTTAGTTAATTAGCGTTTCAGGCAGCAGCACCCGAAATTTCTAACAAGTAGTTTTCACTACCAATAATGCGACATAGAAGAAAAAATGACAAAGATCTGTAAATAAAAGCTCTCCATACATTTATACTGCATTCTAAACAATAAACTTCACTTCTTAGTTGTCTGCATTACAGATGTTTACACAGCAGCAACGCTGCAGAGAAGATCCAATTAAAAAAACGCTGCAGAGAAGTTAGCTATAGCAGCAATCAAAAAGAGAGCTTTGTATCTATGGCCAACTAGAATCAACAAGAATTAACAGCAAGATATGTTATTATCATGGTGCAAATATTCAAAGAGCCCCTCCTGCTGCAGGTAACATTAATCTACCTACAAAAGCACAGGTGAGAAAAAAAAACCATGAAGTTAACAACATACCCATAATAGGCTTGTCGACTGTCTGTTGCAATTGGATGATAAATTGTATATGCTGCTGCATAATTTATCCGTGTAGATGCATTGCATGAAGTTAGATCACTTCAATCCATCAGAACCACATCTCTGCAGACACGCCTATGGAACAATAAAGATCTCAAGGTTACAATTATAAAAGTCTAAGATGGATGGCATCCAACTTTAACTTAAATCGATAACATTTTTCTTTCAAATTCGTTCGATAATAAATAGTCTACCATTTTATTAACTTAAGGACAAAAGAGGAGCTATGTACACAGTATAAATGCTGCTACGGTCAAATTACACACTAACAGAATAAATGTTGTTTGCTCTTACAATGCTGCCATTACTCAGATAACATTTTTTTTGGACCGTACAGGAACTGAGCATTGCCCTCACAGAGCCCATGTCCATGTACCTCCCAAAGGCACATATTATATAATATATAGTAGCTTAAAATAGATCATAAGCATCAGTTAACACAAGAAGTCAAACAAAACAAAAACAACCTTTATAGAAACTATATATTGAGATAGAAGTAAGGCTAGCATAAACAACTTAAGGTCAACTGCATTTTTCAAGTCAAACAATATACAGCATCTTTGATCAGCAGTCAGAAGAAACCAAACACAACTGATTTTAACTGGAAAAAAAACTGTTAGATGCATTCTTCAACTAGATCCAATGCCAATTAAAAAAAATGAAGAGCCACTTGCAAAAACAATAGCTAAGGGCCACAAAATGATGGTCAAGTCAGAATACAACTATATATTATTACATCGCTGCAAGTCTACTTGTGCTTATAATGCCAATTTGTTTACAGTTCCATTTTGGTATCAAGGGCTGGCTGAGAAATACACAACATTGGCATCTACTTGTAGTCTCCTAGCTATATATGTAGCACTTGACATTTGGCCACGGTAAATTTGCTTATGGATGTCTTTCAAGTTTGAACCTGATCCAAAACTCAACAGCAGTAAGAATTGTACTTGTCACAAGTTTCAAGATAATCGAAGAAGAGAACAATGAGAATTTATAATAAAAGTTGACGAATGAAAACTACCTCCTGACATAGTTCACAATATACATTTTGTAGCTCAGGATGGCACCACTCGATGGTTCTAAGAGCAAGGGGGGATTGAGGTTAAACACAGGACATCATTTTTTTTGCCATATATAAACTGCAAGATTCGATTTGATGGCAGCCTAGCATGCTCACCATGCTATCAGGACCTAGATCCCTTTCGGTCACTATCAGGACTACCCTAAAGTGACAAATGTCATAAGGGCCAAGCTTCGACTCTACAGTTAGCCCAAATCACAAAAAGCAAAATTACCATTGCAACTTAATTGAGATAATTTTAAGAAAACATGGGGCCTAATTTGACTTGCATGAAAACCATAGTACTATGATAGTCTTCAAAAAAGAATATGCTATAACTAACCACCTGCATTACCATGTAATCTATGGCATCTATGATCGTCGAGAAGAGAGTTGCACTGACCAACCAGTGACTTTGCATTACTATGGCCCTGTTCGGATCTGCTTCTCAGGCAGTTTTTCATCATAAATAAGCCAAGGTTGCCCCAAACACCAAGCTTCTCGGTAGCAATTTTTAGCAAGGGCTTCTTCCTCATCCCTGCGCCCCCTCCTCGTCCCCGCAATTCCTTCCCCATGTCGCGCCTTCCTCCTCGTCGCCCACGCCTCCCAAGAGAGCTGCCCATTGCCACTCCTCCACTTTTGACTTCCTCTCCGGCCGCCACCCTCTCCTCCACCCTGACCTCCCCTTTGCCACTGCCCTCTCCTCCACATCTGCCGTCACCTTCTCCTCCTTGCCATTCGTGGCCTCCACGCTGGTGGATGAGCTCCCGACACCCCCCCCTCCCTTCCCTCCCCAACCTCATCTCGTAAGGCCTCTCCTCCCAAAGCTAACACCCACAAGCTTCTCTTCATCTTCATCACTGAGATCCGCGAGATCCGGCCATGGAAGCCGGCATGAGAGTTGGAGGAGAAAAGTTAATGCACCAAACGGATAGCTTTTTAGGCTCGAGAATTTCCAATAAGTGGCTATTGTGGGAAGGTGGTGAAAAGCTGGCTTTCCTAAAGCTTAAGTCGTTCCAAACAGGGCCTATAGCAATGCTATGGTCCATGCAGCTATACGATAAAACTTGAGAATTATACTGAGAAACTTAAGAATTATACTAAGAGACATTTCAATCTTCTCAAAGTACAACTGTAATGGGCTAAAATTTGCTTGGACATAATAAAAAAAAGACACCATAACTATATCCAATGATGCCAAGGATAGCTGATGTCTCAGAACTGCGTTCAAACTCAATATTGATTTCATGATCAAAATAGCAAACAACATTGCGGGTACAAGATGTATATAGGCTTATGATTTTATTGGAACCAAGCAGCTCACATAATACTACCATTGTACTGCTAAATTGTCATTACCGTTATTCTCTTAATAAAGATAAAACAACACAGGCGAAGCTATACTAACTTCGACTTGATTGAATTCTAATGTGGGGCTCCTGGCCTCTTGACAGTAACGATAAATTGGTTTTCGTACTCCTAAATAATGTAATCATAGATATTGACACAAAAGATCAAGGGAACAGGGGCGGGTATTGCAGCCCCATATTCTCAGGCAGTCCCATCATCAGATTAAGATTTTGCAAAGCCTGACCAGATGCTCCCTTCACGAGATTATCTATCTGCAAAGTTGAAACATAGCTTGTAAGGACTACGTGCATCTTAAGTATGTGATATTATTTTTGCTATATACTTATGTGTGATAAAGTTGACTGAAGGCACTTACGACAGAGATGATGATGGCCCTTCCAGGAATTCTATCCTCATAGACATTCATGAAGCAATAATTTGATCCCTTAACATGGCTTGTGTGAGGAGCGCTGCTACCATGTAACAGCTTGACAAATTCTTCATCCTGAAAAAATGCAATGATGAATGAACTCTGTGCTAACAAGAGTATATTTCTCTATACACTACAAAATCACAAGACAGATTGATGACTTCAGTGAAAAATTATAGTCCTTCCTAAGCTGACATAATTCAGCCTACATGGTTAAGTAAACAAACCTCGTAAGTAGACTTCAGGTGTTCATACAAATCCCTGGGAGTCACTCCAGATGCCAATTCAACATATATAGTAGATTGCATCCCACGTGTCTACCAAATACCAGTAGAAATGATTATCGAATTTTACAGAAGTGAATATTGAATTTAGCAAGTAAAAGGATGAGTATAATTAAGTGCTTACCATACACATCAAATGTGGAGTAAAGCTGATAGTAACTTTTGATTCAGCAGCATCTGTAAGTCCTTGCTCAATCTCAGGAACTGTCATTATTTTAATCACAATTTGTTAATGAGGTAAGATATATATCACTAACACAACAAATATAATCAAAACATTAATATGGCTAGTTGAGTATAAATATTACCATGCCGATGGCTTGTTATCCCATAAGCATGGATACCCTCAGCGATTTCAGTGTAAAGATTTGCTTCCTTAGCCCCACGTCCTAAAATGACACATGTTTTAGAGACCAAATCATTTAATGTTGAAGCAGAAATAGAAAATAAATCGATTATCTCAAATAAATACGAACCTGCACCACTGACCCCAGATTTTGCATCAATGATAATGTTGGTCAGCTTGATCAGTTTTGCCTAAAAAGCAAACAAAATAGCTTAAGGAAAAAGCTAGATATTGAGAATACTACTAAATTTTCGAGAAATTTTAACACATAAAGTTTCAGTGCTAAAGACATAAAGATTATGCTTTTGTCAATTCAATTCTATGGCATAACTTAGTGTAATTTTATCTAAATTTACAAATATTAACATAGATATGTGTAAGATGCCACAAACTTCTATTAAACCTCACCTTTACCAAAGGAACAAGCGGAAGTTGAATAGATGTGGGATAACACCCTGGATTTGCTACCAGACGTGCATTTCTTATGTCATCTCGTTGAAGTTCAGTTAAACCATACACAGCCTCTTCCTGAAAGGAGAAAAAAGGCTAAAGTAAAGATATAAATTCTAAGAAATATAACATAGTGCCACAAATAGAACCATAAAAAATCTCTGAAAACCAAACCTAATTCTTAGAACTTAGTAGTATCATACAAGACATCAATAGCACAAATCATAAAGAACAATTGATGACAACTCAAGTGCCAAGATAGCAAAGGCAGTGCTAGTTACTAGGCAAAGCTAAAGAGAAAATCAGTCCATCTGTTTCCTTTATATATAAGGGCCATTAGTATTTAAAAAGGCCTTTCTGATGGGATAAGTCTGATGTGTTGGCTGGTCTTTGTGGGGCTGTGCTGGTCACATGGTCCTTGTGGCTGCATGGTCTGTTTTTATGACAGCATCTTAGACTAGAGGACAGCATCTTAGAGGACAGCATCTTAGCATCTAGGACAGCATCTTAGACTAGCATCTTGGCATATACTTGGCTGGCTAGCAGCCTATAAATATGTAACCCCAACCCCTCAGGTTGGCATGGCATTGTGTGAGAAATAAACCAGAAATTTGCCCCAACTCCTAGTGTCATCCTCTCTCGATGAGAGTAAGAATTCTGCTACTACCAAGAGTAAGAATTCAGCGACTAACACTTTCATGGTATACTTTGACTATTGATTTCTCTAATAATATAATCAATTACTACAAATCAACATCTTACATTCTTACTAACACACATGTAAGTTATGAACCTATTGACGAATCATACATAAATTTTGACTAATTGATGGTCAAAGTTTAAAATGTTTGACTTTTTAAGTTCTAAGACGCCCAATATTTTGAAATGGAGGGAGTAGTAAGAAACCTGTAGTTCTGGTGCCCTGTGGGAATGGCCATACCATTCAGCGTACTCATTGATGTCACGTAGTCGGAAGTCCTGTAAGCAATAGTTTATCAACAACAATCGAGATCGTACCCATATTAGAGAAGTAAATATAGTGTGTGCAGAGAATACCGCTGAGAGATCAACGATCTTTAAGTGTCGGGGTAAACTTTTGATAATTTCCTGATAAAAAAATATTATAATTAGGCAGTGCATTGTAAAGTTTATTAAAATCTAGTTCTCCACACGTTATACAACAGAGTCTAAGATTGTATTAACAAATTCAATAAAAGATATGAAGAATTTAAGGTAAAAACATAATAGCAATAAACAAACCTGTGTTGTGCCATGTGGCAAGCAACAAAAAACAGCATCAACGTCTGAAAAGTCAGCGTCTTTTATTGCAACCAATCTCGGCAGGTCCTGCAAATCAGAAGAAAATCAACAATATTTTAAGATTTTGACAAACATAACAAATAAAGTTGTGATGATACAACTCTAGTGCACAGAAATGTAGTGCAGCCCAGAGGTTTAGTTGCTTCTTGATATAAGTAGGCTAAGATCATAGATGAGGAGGAAGAGAGAAGATAAGTTCTCACCTGTGTTCTCAAGTGAGGAAATACAGATCCAAACTGCTCACCAGCTTTTCTATCTGCAGTCATCACTTTTATATGGAACTGAGGGTGGTTCGCTAGAAACCGAACAATCTGTTAACAAAAGCGTAGCAACTACATTAGCAAAAAAGAACCAAGGACAAAAATCCTCATACAAAATGAGATTAGAATAATGGGACAACCTCAGCTCCAGTATAACCACTGGCCCCTAGCACTGCAATGCGTATGCCATCCCCTGATTTAGGGGCTGCTGCCTTAGGGGAGAAAAGCTTCCGCGGTGAAGAAGCAATGGATCCCCTCACATGGAGGGGCAGGGCTCCAACCTAAAGCAGAGTATCATTTTCATTAGCATTTCATATACACCTCAGAATCTTACTATTATATAGAAAAGAAAAAAATGCAAAACTTAATTCACCTGCTGAGGTTTCTTGAGTACGATACCAGTGAATGGCTTCGAATTAGATCCAAGGATTCTATTCTGCACAGAAAAGAAGTATTTAAGTGCTTCTCAGTCAGGTCCATATAGTCACATAATGAAGCAAAGTCGGTTCAGCACTGCGGAAGCACATCAATAATAATTCGAAGCTCAAGAACCATTCGAGCCGCCAAAGTAAACAGGGTTCAGTCATCACAAATCGCAATAGAAGAACCTTTAGGATCTGCCCAGAGGTGATTCCGGCGGCCGAGGCCATCGTCTGCGCCTGCGCCTGCTGCATCCCGTCCCCTCGGCCGCAAGAAAGGTGGACGGCGCCTGGCAACGAACGAGCAGGGAGGCTGGAGGCCGTGAGTGAAGCAGCGGGGAGGGGAGCAAGGTGGCAGGGAGGCGAACGAGGGCGACAGGGTTCCACCAACAGGGCGGATCTCCCACCCCCGCCCGGAGTGTCCACAGCGCGGACTGCAGTGGCGCCGAGCGGCCGAGCGACCGAGGTAGAAGACGACGCCCGCGAGGTTGAAGACGACGCGCGGAGTGGTGGGCCTTTTGTTTTTTGGGCTGGGGCATACGCCGGCAGGCAGCATGGGCCATCTGGCCACTGGCCTACATCGGCCCATCACAGCAGAGGGAAGAGGCCCTTAGGGCACACAGGCACAGACCATACAGCCCATAGGGCATAGCTCGGCAAAGCATCCGCTCCCTCTCCACTTGCGCTCGGCACGCAGACGATGACGGCGGCGCTCCCAGGCTCGGCGTCGGGCAGCTGTCAGTGGCTCCCCCTCCCGCCCCCGGTCCTCTGCACAGTGGCCGGGGACCCTGCGTGCGCCTCCCGTTCCCCTCCCGACTCCGGTGGACCATCGACGGCGCATAGGCCTAGCCCCGGCGGCTGCGCTGCGCGCCGCGCGGGGCCGGTGGGCAGCGGGAGCCGGCGGCCGCTGCTCCACCTAGGCGGCGCAGCGATTGCAGCTTGCC